AGGGAGGGAGGGGGGAGGAGGGAAGGAGGGAGGGGGGAGGGGAGGAGGGAAAGAGGGAGGAGGGAGGAGGGAGGAGGAGGGGGGAGGAGGGAGGAGGGAGGAGGGGAGGAGGGAGGAGGGAGGAGGGAGGAGGGGAGGAGGGAGGGATGGAAGGAGGGAGGAGGGAGGAGGGGAGGAGGGAGGGATGGGAGGGGGGAGGAGGGAGGGGGGAGGAGGGAGGGAGGGAGGGGGGAGGAGGGAAGGAGGGAGGAGGGAGGAGGAGGGGGGAGGAGGGAGGAGGGAGAAGGAGGGGGGAGGAGGGAGGGGGGAGGAGGGAGGAGGGAGGAGGGGAGGAGGGAGGGGGGAGGAGGGAGGAGGGGAGGAGGGAGGAGGGAGGAGGGGAGGAGGGAAGGAGGGAGGGGGGAGGAGGGAAGGAGGGAGGAGGGAGGAGGGAGGGGGGAGGAGGGAGGGAGGGAGGGGGGAGGAGGGAAGGAGGGAGGGGGGAGGGAGGGGGGAGGAGGGAAGGAGGGAGGAGGGAGGAGGGAGGAGGAGGGGGGAGGAGGGAGGAGGGAGGAGGGGAGGAGGGAGGAGGGAGGAGGGAGGAGGGGAGGAGGGAGGGATGGGAGGGGGGAGGAGGGAGGAGGGGAGGAGGGAGGGATGGAAGGAGGGAGGAGGGAGGAGGGGAGGAGGGAGGAGGGAGGAGGGGAGGAGGGAGGAGGGGAGGAGGGAGGAGGGAGGAGGGGAGGAGGGAGGGATGGAAGGAGGGAGGAGGGAGGAGGGGAGGAGGGAGGGATGGGAGGGGGGAGGAGGGAGGGGGGAGGAGGGAGGGAGGGAGGGGGGAGGAGGGAAGGAGGGAGGAGGGAGGAGGAGGGGGGAGGAGGGAGGAGGGAGGAGGGAGGAGGGGAGGAGGGAGGGATGGAAGGAGGGAGGAGGGAGGAGGGGAGGAGGGAGGGATGGGAGGGGGGAGGAGGGAGGGGGGAGGAGGGAGGGAGGGAGGGGGGAGGAGGGAAGGAGGGAGGAGGGAGGAGGAGGGGGGAGGAGGGAGGGGGGAGAAGGAGGGAGGAGGGGAGGAGGGAGGAGGGGAGGAGGGAGGAGGGAGGAGGGGAGGAGGGAGGGAGGGAGGAGGGAGGAGGGAGGAGGGGAGGAGGGAGGAGGGGAGGAGGGAGGGATGGGAGGGGGGAGGAGGGAGGGAGGGAGGGGGGAGGAGGGAAGGAGGGAGGAGGGAGGAGGAGGGGGGAGGAGGGAGGAGGGAGGAGGGAGGAGGGGAGGAGGGAGGGATGGAAGGAGGGAGGAGGGAGGAGGGGAGGAGGGAGGGATGGGAGGGGGGAGGAGGGAGGGGGGAGGAGGGAGGGAGGGAGGGGGGAGGAGGGAAGGAGGGAGGAGGGAGGAGGAGGGGGGAGGAGGGAGGGGGGAGAAGGAGGGAGGAGGGGAGGAGGGAGGAGGGGAGGAGGGAGGAGGGAGGAGGGGAGGAGGGAGGAGGGAGGAGGGGAGGAGGGAGGAGGGGAGGAGGGAAGGAGGGAGGGGGGAGGAGGGAGGGACGGAAGAGGGAGGAAGGAAGGAGGGAGGAGGGGAGGAGGGGAGGAGGGAGGAGGGGAGGAGGAGGGGGGAGGAGGGAGGAGGAGGAGGGAAGGAGGGGAGGGGGGAAGGAGGAAGGAGGGGAGGGGGGAGGAGGAGGAGGGAGGAGGGAAAAATGGAAGTGTGGCTGACAGAGACCTCCCCAGGCCCCTGTGCCAGGCTGTGCACACCTACCCGGCTGCTGCAGACCTGGGTGCCAAGGGTCCCCAGTGACCTCCCTAGAGGGTCCCCTTGTCTGTGGGGACCCAGGGTGCCTGGGAGCCACCTGCAGCCAGTGTCCTTTGGGGATGGGCGGTGCACTCTCTTTGCCCCTGAGCGGGGGAGAGGCGCGTGCCGCCAGCTGCATTGCAGAGCTGCCTGTGGGGCCTGGCGGAGACCAGACCCCATGAAAGCAGGACTCCATGGGTCTCTCCCGCACTGTCCCGCCCACACTCGCAGGCAGCAAGTCCCAAACAACGCCCGCCCTCAACACGTCACATGCCAGTAACTGCCAGATGCAGGGCAGCTCCCGGTTACCCGGGTGAGCACAGGTCTCTAAAAAGCGTGGGGCACGTTAGGAAATGGTTTTAGAGTAAGGGAGCCCTCTCTAAGAGACTACCGCTGACACTAAGAGCCAGAAGAAAAGACGATGAATCCCACCAACATTATTAATGTTCTAAACAGTATGGCAACAGACATAGAGAAAGAAAACAGCAATAAAATAAAAAGTGTAGACATGTGTTTCTATACAGATAAAGATTTAAGTCTATATTCATTACAAAGGGATAATTTTCTTCAAATGTAAAGATAGTTATCAAAACATCAAGAAAAACACTAACTCAATAAACAGTGAAAAGACATAAGTGAAGATTTGGCCAAAAACGGAGATGCAAACATTGCTTAAGCAAAAGAAGGGATTCTTAGTTCATCACAAAAGACTAGAAAAAGTGAAACTACAATAAGATATTGTTTTCGACTCAGCAGGTTGGAAAGACAAAAAAAAATAAACCAAAAACCCCACTGATGTCTCCGTAAGTTGGCAGGGTGCTGGTAGACAGTCACGCTTATAAATCACCCAGGAGAGTGTAAAATTTTCCAACCACTTTGACAGTCTGGCAACACTCGTGAAATTACTGAGTTTTCTCCCTTTGACTCAGCAGTTCTGCTTCTAGGAATTTATTGTACAAACATTCTTACACATGTACCAAGTAATATATGACCGGGGTATTCATGGCGGCAGAAGGCCAGGAATCAAAGGGAATGTCTGTGAACAGAGGGGGCTGGAGTCCCACAAGGAGATGCCCTCCAGTCATTAATCTGTAAAAATAAAAAAATCCTATGTATAGAACAGACTTGTGGACCCTGGGAGAAGGCGAGGGTGGGATGTTTCAAGAGAACAGCATTGAAACACGTATATTATCTAGGGTGAAACAGTTCACCAGCCCAGGTTGGGTGCATGAGACAAGTGCTCGGGCCTGGTGCACTGGGAAGACCCAGAGGGATTGGGTGGAGAGGGAGGTGGGAGGGGGGACCGGGATGGGGAATACATGTAAAAAAAAAAAAAAAAAGATACACTATGGTTGTGATAAAAATAAATAAATAAATAAATTTTAAAAAAAAAAAGTAAAAGCAAAAGCAGAGTACCGTCTTTACTGCAGAGGAATCCCCAGGAAGTTCTGGGAGGCAGAGGGGGTGCAGGGCAGCGCACCCTGACGTGTCTGTGTTGACGCCGAGGGGATGCGCGCGATCCCAGGTCGGCACGCGGGAGTCGGCAGGAGGGGTGATGGTGAGTTGCTGTCCACGGTCTCCCCAGAGCTGGGTTTGGAGGCTGGGGCAGGGCTAGGGGGAATCTGCATCTGACCCGAGTGGACTCCTCTGAGCGAAGGACTGGGACTCTTTCTCCTGGAGGGTGGGGGGGACTGCGTCTCCCAGGCTACCTGCATGGCCCCCTTGGGAGCCCCTGCTGGTCGGCCCCGTCTCCCTCCTGCTCGCCCCCTCCACCCTCACGGGCTGCGGCTCCTGGCGTTCTGCTGTCCTCTGCTCGCTCATGATGGTGACAGCTCACGCCCAGTGCCCACTTGGCTTGCCAGGCCTGGAGCCGCAGCTTTACCATCACCATCGCTGTCTCCATTTAGCCTTCCAGCAGCAGCCTGCTCGTGCAGATGGGCGAATCCAGCTCAGAGATGAACCGGCCAACCCAGCGTCCCAGGGGAGCTCACGGCCCACTTCGAGCTCCACCCGGTCGCCCTGGGGCTCCAGGGTCAGGGGAGTGAAGGAGGTGCTCTTCCATCCTCAGGGCGGTGGACTGGCTTTTAGCCGACCAGCCTAATGGGAGCAGACTGAAGCCATTTATACATCTGCAGCTTGTCCCCTGCCGCATTGAGAAAGCCCCAGGCATGGGGGGTCTCACAAGTGGCAGCCAACGGCTCAGAGACTAGTAAAGGCCAGAGCGTGGAGGCCAGCATCAGCTGGTGCATCCTAAGGGGGCAGGGAAGCTGAGACTTGGGTCCTGGAGCCCGCTGGGACCTCCATCTCCAGGGCTCTGGGCAGGCAGGGGAGCATCGCGCCGTGGGCCGGAGGATCGGTGAGTGCAGGAGGCCGACTTCACCTGCCCCCCAGCTCACTCGGGCCCGGGAGGCCAGGGGGAGCCAGAGGGGGTGGCTGGACAGTGTGTGAAGCCCCCCCAGACCTGGCCCTTGCTGTGGGCATTTTCATGGTGAGTTAAGGCCTGAATGGCTGTGGTGCAGAGCGACCGAGGCAGGAACGACATTAGGGTGAAGCCGGGGTGCCTCATCTGTGGATCCACAGCCCCCAAGAGCACCGGGCCCACTCTGACACGTGTGTGCACATGCTCCATCCTGATCGTGGGTGGGGAGGCCTGCCCTGGGACCGGGGACCCTGAGCAGGGACGGAGATTGAGGGCTGGCAGCATCCCTGGGGAGTCCCAGTGTCAGCCACGTGCCCCAGGGCGGTCACCCCCCAGAGGCCAGGGCAGGCACGCGGGGGTAAGAGGCTGTTTCTGAGAATGTGGGTCTGTGACCTAGAGAGGCTCAGGTCAGCTGCTCGCCCAGAAGACAGAGTCGGCCCACGCAGGCTGGGAGCAGGACGCTGTGCCGAGGCTCTCGCCCAGCTGGCCTCCCAGGGAGGCCTAGCCAGGGGACGAAGGGCCTGGCCTCGAGGTCAGCCCACAGGCCGCTGCCTGCTGCCCTGCGAGGCGCCTCTGGTCCGGGCCAGCCTCCCTCCCCACTCTGGACGGCAGCACCATCCGCAAAGCCGCGGCTGGACTTCCGACAGGGCATCTTTCTCCTGACCCGTCGCTCTGCGGAGCCAAGTCAATCTGTTGTCAGACTGGGTGCATTTCCACGCAGGGCAGGGTCCTGGCTGCTGCTGGGAGGGCCGAGAGGGAGGCCCTGGGGCCGTGTTGGGCTCACGAGCCTTCCCGTGGCTGTCTCTCTGCCGCTGCGAACCTCGGGCCACACGCATGGGCCTCTATCTCCGCCAGCCCTGGGTGCTGCCTTCTCCAGCCGCACACAGTCTTTCTCCAGAGGCTGCAGCTCTTTGGGATGGTTGTGGCCGATGCCAGTGGGGCCCTGCATGGGAGCAAGTCCACCTGGACTCCGTGCACGGGCCAGCGCCACAGCGGCCTGGAGACTGCGTGCCTGAACCGCCTCCGCCGCGGCTGCAGAGAGAGGGCGCGGGTCTGGCCAGGGGCTGGCAAGCCCGCAGTGGCCATGCGTGGTCACAGAGGCCTCCAACCCATGAGGGAGACCAGCGGGCTTGCCCCACGTGCTCCTCGGGAGACCCGGAGGAACTGTGAGGTCCCGCCTCCCCGACAGCGTCCCCAGCACTGTCAGGGGCCACTTCTAACTCTCATCCCCCTCCATGTGTTCTTCAGCTGGGAGACCCACATACAACACAGTGGGGACGTGTGTCAGTGGGGAGACTGTCCCGCCTCTGAGCACCTGCTCCTTCCTCCCCGCCAGCTGGAAGTCCTTCCGGGTGTGGACAAGCACGCAGAGCATGCTGGGAGCCCAAGGCGCCTGCAGTCAACATACATGGCTTCGTTTCAGCCCGAGAGCAAAAGCAAAAGCAAAGGGCGGCTGTTGGACCCCATCATGTGTACCAGAGGAATGCAGGGCGTCATCAGGAGGGTGACATGGCCTGGAAGTCAGGGCAGGGTCGGGGGACCAGGGCAATCCGGTCCTCGTGAGGATCCCCGGCTCCCACCTGGAACAGCAGGGACGGCACCCCTGACCTGAGACCCTTAGACTGCAGTACCCAGGGCCGGGGTCACGCCCACTGTTGCGTGGTCAGTACCTGGCCCGGAGTAGGGGCTCTGAGCCGTCACCAGGTAGACAAGCCCTCGCCCTCTGGGGCAAAAGGGCCTTTGAGACGAGCACCCGATTCCCAGGCTGGAGAAGTGGGCAGAGAGCAGGCTCCCGCGTGGAGCCTCCCCTCCTCGGGCCTGTGGCTTTTCGCCCTGCGGTCTCAGCCCACCATCAGACTGCGGGGCATCTCCCTGTCTTCTGGACCCCAGGGCTCCAGGCTGCTTCGCTCCAGGTGCTGGGCATGACCGCGGCTGGACTCTGTCCACAGGGACTGGAGTGCGGGGAGCAGGGAGGCCACAGGCTTGCGGGGGCGGGGGGCAGGGGGCACAACAGGGTCCTCCACCTGCCCAATGGACTGAGGACCGTGGTTCCAGAGGGAGATGCGCACAGCCTTCCTGCCTATCCAGGTCACCGGCACAGCCCCCGGAAGGGCTCCAGCCATGCTTGGCTACACGGGACCGTACATGGTGGGTGATGATGACTACTGCCTCTCAGGGTCAGCCCGCCCCTCTAGCCACCCTTCCGAGCATCTCTGGCTCCTGCAGCTTGTCCGTGATGGCCAGCTGTCTTCACTTGCCGCTCTTGGGGCACAGTGGCGGCGCAAACCTCTGCTGTCCGTGGAACCCTGGAGGCACTCGGCCTCCTTCCCGGCTTCCCCCAGGGCTTCCTGCCCCCACCTACCCTCCTCCGCCCCCACATCAGCGGTGCGACCCTGCCCGGCCTCTGGCAGATGGACGCCTTGTCTAACAGCCAGCACACCGGGACGCCCAGCGAGGCTCCCCAAGGCCCCAGGACCTCCGCCAGCCTTGGGAAGAGGCCGGACGGGGGGGAGCGTGGTCCCAGCACCGCCAGCTCAGGGTTCCTAGAGGGATGATTCTCTTACCGACAGCGTCACTGAAGTCTGCGGCAGGCTTTCCCTCTGTAACTGATCTCTCAGCAACGACAAGACAGCAGGGTGTTTTTGCCTTATTAGGCTGCTGCTGTTCCCGGCAGCGCTCAGAAAGGCACCGTGGGGTTGTCAGGCGTGGGCTGCCCCTGACGGGGAGCCCACGGGGACTGTGAGCCTCTGCAGGGCCGCCCTCGCCCCCGGCGCCCACACCACCCTCCCCATCGCTCTGGAGGCAACCCCCCGCCTGCCCCCTCCCCGCCACCCCGCGGCCCAGAACCATGGCGGGTCCTCCAAGTCCTGCGGGAGTGTCTGAGCCCCAGGGCTGGTCCAGCAGGAAGCCCTGGGGGCGATTCAGAAGCTGCCGAAGGACCAGCTTCAAGGCAGAGCCGGATGGCACTTCCCAGGAGATTCCTGGGGACAGCCGGCCACCCAGGTCCGGCCCCCACTAGTTCAGGACCTACAAGTCAGCTCTAAAGTGACTTCAGGATTGTGCAGCGAACACTGAGGCTCCAGCCTGTAGGTGTAGGGAGGAGGGTGGACAGGCCCAACCCAGCTCAGCCGCGCTTTGGGAATCCAGACACTGCTGCCGCTTCCTTGGGTTTCGGCGCCCGTGTCTGGAGGAGCTCTGCCCTGAGGAAAGGTCTGGAAGGCTGTGTGAGGTCTTTGAAGCTTGATTCTGATGAGGGTGGGGGCGGAAGAGGGATGAGTTTCTGGTGGCCGAGGAGCCGTTCCCTGCCGGGCCCGCAGTGCCAGCATCACGTGGGGATCTGACTCTCATAATCAAGGTGCCCCAGTGTTCGCGTCCTGCCGAGCTCAGGGCTTGAGGATGGGCTTTGGGCAGAGCCGGAGCGCAGGGACGTCTCAGGGTGGCTGATGAGCAGCCGCGGTGACCGTGGCCATCGTGTGCAGCACGTTCACCACTCGGGGTGTTCTGCGCGTGCCATGCCCTTAAATCCAGCGACACTATGAGGAAGGATACTCGTCTCCACTCAGTCATCAGTGAGCTAAATCTCAGGAAAATGGAACCAGATGATGCACATGAGATGCTTGCAATGCTGCCTGCACTTCGCAAGCTCTGAGAAGTCTCCATTAGCAAATTCATCCTCTTGATCGTCTCGATCCCCTGCAGCCCTGCCTCTCCGGGTGTCCAATGAAGCTGCCAAGCAAGACTCGGGCTGTGAAATGTGAGGGCGTTCCCCGACACCACCCGCCTCCTTGGAAGCGTGTCCTCAGGGTTGGGGGGTTCCCTGGGCAGGCTCTTCCTGCGGGTGCTGACTCCACGCACTGTCCACACCCCTCACCCCACTTCCTGCTAGGATCTGTCCGGAGGCTCTGTTGCCTCTTCCATGCATTCATTATTTTTTTCACCCCTAAGGAAATCTCACACCTTTGCTGAGAACGACATTTATTTTTATCTGTTATTTATTCTCCTGACTCATGAAATTGCACCCTTCAGGATGCCAGTACAAAATGTTAAAAAAAAAAAAATTAGTAAGAATGCATACAAGTGGATGAAAGATGTTAGGCTTCTTTTATCTCCTGAAATATGAATTTAAATACTTTCACTTTATGATCCCTAGAGAAAAAATTAAATAAAAAAGTAAGTGCAAATATATATATATATATATATATATATCAAACTCTTACTTCTTCAAACTTAAACTGAAAAAAATTTAAAAAACAAAAAACAAAACCCAAAGCATTGGCCCAGAACAATAGCTGCACTGTTCTCTGAAAGGGCGACAAGAAGTCATTTGCTGAGAGGTAATTTCTCCACCTTTAGCCCAGGCCCAGAGGCTGCAGTCTGCAGCTCCTGACCCCTTCCCCTCCACCCAGCCTAGACCTCCGCCTGCAGTCTGAAGCCGAGGCTGGAGGTGCCCGGGTCCTCCTGCGGCCTCACCCACTGACACTCCTCCCTGTCCCTTACTGGTCCTTAATGAAGCTGGGGTCAGGCTGCTGGGGACGCTTGGAGGGGATACGTCACGCCCCATGGTGTTGCCCAGCAGAACAGGGAGAGAAAACCAGCCTGAGGCAGAGCCACCCTGGGCGGTGTGGACGCCGGCTCAGCCCTGGGGCTCTGGCCGTGGAAACAGTGTCCTGATCCAGAGACCCGACCTGATTTCAGGTCAGTCCCCCGGCTCGCACACAGTGAAAGGTCAGTGCTCGCTCCCCGCTAGCACTTCCTAAATTTTACACGAACTGAAGTTGATCTGAGCAGAGCCGGCCTCACTGATTGGCGTGGAGTGGAGGCGGTGGTCTTGGGTGGAAGATGAAGATGTCCGAGTGTGGACGCAGGGCACACACAGCAGCAGCGGGCAGGGAGCTGGAGGGGGGCCTGCAGGGTCAGGGGCTGATACCAGGACGCTCCCATCCCTGGACGAGCCCCACGGCCCCGGCCCCAGGGCAGACGGTCTCGGGCCCAGGGACCAGACGACTCGGGCTCCGCCCCAGCCTTGCCACCAACCACTGAACCTAAGCGCTGGGTTCCGCACTTGTGAAATGGGACATTCATGTGCTTTTGGGGAGTCGTGGTGAGGATACAGGGGGGCACCCAGAGAAGCACAGAGCCTGGGGGACCCCCCACGAACGCCAGCCCCTCCTCTTCGCCCTTCTCCTGCTCTTTTACTCACAGGAACCTTTTGAGGCCAAGTTCAAGTTCCTGGGATAACCCAGGTGTCAGTGGGGGCTGAGGGCTGACGCCAGAGCCGGACATTGTGGGGGCACTCTGGCTGGGCGCCTCGAGGTGCCAGTGGCATGCATGTCCTCTTTCCCGCTCCTGGACGCTGATGACGGGCTCAGGGAGGGCGCTTCCCAAGCATAGCCCGACCCGAGCCTGGGGCCCGTGTGCACTGGTCTGCCCCACCGCGAGCCCGGGACCCTGTTTGCTGGGGCCTCAGCCACGTGTCTAGTTGGGAATGGGAATTAAGTGCTGGTCCTTTCCCCCCACAGCTCTGGATACAGCTGGTCATGCAAAACAAAAGCAGGGGACACTCGGTGAGCCTAAGGCGTGCTTCTGATTAAAGCAGGAAACAACTTCCAGAGAAAGGCGTGGGGCCTTCCTGGACGTCAGGCCACAGGCCTGTGTGTGAGGATGAGGAGCCTGCGAAGAACCATAACAGGAAGGAGAGCGGCCAGGAAGTCACAGGAGGAGCAGTGCTCGTCACCTCGGACGCTCACACATCAGAGCCTCATCCCCAACATGACGGTGTTGGGGCGGGCCTGCAGGAGGGGAATAGTTCATGCAGGTGCATGACCCCCCAGATGTGGGGTCCGTGCCCGCCTAAGAAGGGGCAGGAGAGAGGCTCTGCCTTCGCAGCTGAGGACACGTGAGAAGGCAGCTGTCTGCAAACCAGGCAGGGAGCCTCGCCAGGCACTGAGGCTGCTGGGGCCTTGACCTTGGTCTTCCTGCCTCCAAGACTGAGGGAAGTAAACACAGTGCATGTTACCTCCTGAATATAACAAGCAGCCCGAGCAGACTGGGAACCTGGGGGTCTTGAGGACGTTTTCAGAAGAGCAGGCCTGAGCTGAGTCTTGAAGGATGGAGAGGGTCTCCAGGGCAGAGCCACCGTTTGAAGCAGCGTCTCACAATACCAGGGGGTGGTTTCTCAGGGGTCCCCCCCTCCTAAGCTGATAAAGGGTCCATGAAGAAGAGACATGGGCTCTTCCAAAGGGTCAGTGAGGGTCACAAAGGGTCAGACTCAGGGATCAGTGGAAGCTGGATGGATTAAATCATAGAAGGGTGCATTTGAGGAAGAGAAGGTAGGACCTGAAAACCATGGGCGCACAGAGACTGGCTCACGCCAGAAGGAGAAGGCAAGGCCTGCTGAGACCTGTGAGATGGGCTGGGAGAGGATCTGAAATCTTGAGGGCTGGCTCTCAACACCATCAGCAGGCCTTCAGGATTTAACGAGGGAGGCAAAGAGGGGCTCGCTGGAATCTTTAAACGGAGGAGAGAGCTCGCCTGCGGTCCTGCTTTCTCTGCATGCTGCGCGGGGCCAGGCTCACCCACAGCCACGGAGCTGGTGCCGAAATCACCAGGTTCAGTCTGGAGCCTGGAGGACAGAGAGGAGGAGGCCAGGGCTAGGTGCTTCTTGGGGGGCTACCTCTGGGGGGGAACAAGCATTGGGGAGGGTGCTGATGCCTGCTCTCTGAGCCTCTCCAGGAAGAGAACCTCTTCTGCAGAGGACTCGGGTGCAGGGTGGCAGGAGATGGTTATTTCTGAGCCCCAAATCCAGGATCTCTGATGAGGACCGCAAGCCCCTGTGTGAAGGAGAAATCATTTGGACACTATGCTATTTCCGTCCCAGACTGAGGCCTATTTGAAAAGAGACAAATTGTGATAAACGACGTGCAGTTGTGTGTTCATGGGCTTGATTGTTAAAACCGCGTGAATTTCCTTAAAGGTCTTCCCTAAAAGGGAACCGTATTTCTCATGGATAAGGAGGCACGTGTTTCTTTGCATCAACCCGCTGCCTCTCTGCCCCTGACCCTGGAGCCTCTTCCCCATGCTGGAGCAGGAGTGATGAAGACGGGAGTCGCTGTGGTCTTCCTCATGGCTGCCCACACTAATTGACTCACCGCAAATGGAGAGGGGCGGGCAGGTGACACTCTAATAAGGAAACAGGTGCTTCCATCTTAATGGGGCTGTCACAGCCACCTGCAGAGCCTGGGGCTGGAGTGCTTCATTAACAAGAGTAGAGCAGCCCAACTTTGAACTTGAAAATCATTATGGAACTTGGGCTTCAAGTACTTCCCCTGAGACCTGAGGTTTTTCTCTGCCGTCCTTATAATAAGGAACATTCTTCCAAAGAAGTTTTTATATCTTAAAAAAATCTTTAAAAATCTCAAAACCATGTGCATTCTTCAACCCCTCTGCTAGGTGAAAACTAAACCTATTTTTGAATGTTTGTTAATTATGCAGTTCTGTGCCATCTACTGAGCAGTCAACAGAGGGACAGGCGCTTGATGATCCTTACAAGAAGGCTGGACACAGGTTAGGTGCCAAACTGGCAAAGGTCAGCGGCCAAAGTTCAACCAGCCCAGGCCCGATGAGCAAATCATTTAGAGGGATTAAAACCAAATGAAGAGTCATCGGTTTGAATGTGGTCCAAGAGGGGAACAAAAGCTTTTCCTCAGAGGCGTGCAGGCTAGTGTCTGCTGTTCTTCTTGGATTATAGTTGATTTGCAATGCTATGTTAATTTCTGCTGTTCACCAAAGTGATTCACATACATATATTCTTCTTTATGTTCTTTCCCACTATAGCTTATTATTGCAGATACAAATATGGTTCCCTGTGCTGTAAAGTAGGACCTTCTTGTTTATCCATCCTATATATAATATATAGTAGTATGTGTGTGTGTGTGTGTGTGTGTGTATATATATATGATAGTTTGAGTCTGCTAATTCCAAAATTCTACTTCGCCCAACCCGTTCCCCCCTGGCAGCCCCAAGTCTGCTCTCTATGTCCGTGAGGCTGTTTCTGTCTCATAGACAGGGTCGTCTGTGTCATATTTTAGATCCCACATGCATGTGATATCATATGGTGTTTGTTTCTATCTGACTTCACTTAGTGCGATAATCTCTAGTTGCATCCACGTGGAGCAGAATGTTTTCGAAGAGCCCATTAGGGAGAGCTTTCTAGACTAAAGTGACAAAAACTGGGCACGCCTGATGACAGGTGTGTCTGAGGACATACCTCAGTCTCCAAGATGTCCCACGGATCTTCATGTCCACAGAGTGTCCGGAGACTGAGCTCTGCAGTACCCAAGGTGCCACGCATGGTCTGTAAGCCAGTGAATAAGCAATCAATTCTAACTCAGACACTTTATTCTTACCTGTCTCAAGCCAGGGTGGATTTGATGAATGGTTTTGAAACTATGCAGAATTCCCTGCATGTGTCAGAAGGCTTATGCTTGAAATATTCATTATTATCTTATTTAAAAATAATTATTCTGATAAATATTAATCTTGATGACAAAGAAGCCAAGAAGCACATGGAATATCAAGAGAAGAGAGATCATTTTGAACACGTTTTTTGTTTTGTATAGAATCGGAAGCACACACATGGTTACATCTTTTAATGTCTGTGCCCGACTGCCTTAGCCAGACCGCTGTCCTGACACTGGGAACCTTTTGTTCCCTCATCAAGTGTTTTCTGAGCACTTGGGTTATTCTGTTCTTGGAATTCTGCCTTGTGCAGGAGATACACTCAATAAAGCATAAGGCTGGCCCTTAAAGTCATTTGTAGGACACAGGGGACAAATAAGTAACTAGACAAGTGACGTGCAGAACAGTTGGTGTGGAGAGAGCAGTGAACACAGCGCGCCTTGAGCACCCATGCGGGTGCTCACAACTGTGCTCATTTGATCGGGCTGCTGCGAGAAAACACCAGATGCGTGTTGCTCACGGTTCTGGAGGCTGGAAGGTCGAGAATCGGGTACCAGAAGGGCTGACTTCCGGTGAAGACTTTCCCTTTAGGTAGCAGCGGACACCTTCTTGCTGCATCTCACATGCTCTCCCCTGGTACCTGTGCCCAGAGAGAAAGAAGAGTTTTCTTTTCCTATAAGCACATTAATCCTTTGGGTTTAGGACCAAACCCTCATGATCTCAACGAGCATTAATTGCTTTTTGAAGATCTTGTCGCCAAATATGGCCATGTAGGGAGTTAGGGTTTCAACACATGAATTCCGGGGACACAAACATTGTTCTGTAACAGTAACTCAGATAAGGAGGGGCAAAGCGTATGCGGGGGTAGGAGTTGCAGAGGATACGAGGGTCTCTAGGGCCTGGGTGGTGGAAAGAACTTTGACAATGGAGGGAACCAGGCAGTATCATCACGCGTGTGTTTGTGTGAGTGCTTGCCTGCGTGTGTACACGTGATCGTGCATGCAAGCACCCGTGCGTGGGTGCCTGTGTGCACACACTCGTGTGTTGGAAGAGAGCTGGGCTTGGGGCCCAATCCCACAGTTGGGAATTGAGCTTGGGAAGACTGGAGGACAGCATTGAAGAACCACGAATGCCAAGGAGCCTAGACTTGACCTTGAGGATAGAGCTGCTCCCTCAAGGCAATTTGCTGACAGAAGCTCCTGAAAGGAGCATGACTGTGACGAAGAGACTGCATGGAAAGCATTGAGGAAATGGGCAAGGCTGAAAGACAGGGGCACCAATCCCATGGCCTCCCCACAGGAAGTTCTCAGGAGTCCTTGTGAGCGCTCGTGGGGTCAGCCGCATGAAGGAAGAGGTACCAAACATCCCATGACGTGAGCAAGAGTGTCGCCAGTCACCCGTCTGCAAGTTCTTCACCTCCATGGGGTTTGGGTTCTTCAAGGGAAGGGCCAAGTTTTCTTCTCTCTCTGAAACCCCTGTAACTGGTGCAAGTCATGTACCCCACCACCTAGTTTTATAATTTTTCCTCCTTTCTGGTGAATCACACCTGTGTGCCTAGAGATGTCTTCAAATTCTATTTTGATGATTAATTAACAGCACTGTAGCTACAGAAGTTACCCATCATGATTATCTTCTACAGTCAATATTTGTTTAGGTTTACCATTTACTTTTTTCTCCTTTTTTTGGTCAGTAATCCTTTATCCACCTTTTCCCTTCCCCCTGAAATAAATATACCAGACATTTCTTTAGGGAGATAAACTTTCCCAGTGTTAATTATCTAAGAATGTCTTTTACCTTCATTGTTAAATAATGGTTTCCCAGGTGAAAATGTGAGTGTAACTCTGTAGGGACAGAATTCTACTTCCCTTTGGTTCCCATTGTTACTGTTGAAATATAAGCTGTATTTCAAGCCACCTCCTTGCAGGTAATCTGGATGCTTCTGCAGTCTTCTCCTTTTCCTTTGAGTTAGGGTTCTCCATTGATGTGTCTTGATATTAATTCATTTCACTTATCTGGATTAGGATTTATTAACCTATCAGCATATGTTAATTGTGTTAATTCTGAAAAAGTCTTTGCCATTATGTTCAGTTGTGCCTTTTTCTACTTTTTCTCCCTTCCTTTCTTCCTCCTTTCTTCCTTTCTTTCCTTCCTTCCCCTTATTTGCTGTTGTTGTCTAGTCACTAAGTCAGGTCCAGCTCTTTGAGACTTCATGGACTGCAGCATGCCAGGCTTCCTTGTCCTTCACCATCGCCCGGAGTTTGCTCAAACTCATGTCCTTTGAGTCTGTGATGACATCCAACCATCTTGTCCTCTCTCTGTCTTCCCCTTCTCCTGCCTTCAATCTTTCCCATCATCTGTATTTTCCAATGAGCAGGCTCCTCACACCACTTGACTGAAGAACTGGAACTTGAGCCCCAGCATCAGTCCTTCCAGTGAACACTGAAGGCTGACCTTCTTCAGGACTGACCAGTCTGATCTCCCCGACATCCGAGGGACTCCCGAGTCCCCTCCAGCACCACCGTTCAAAAGCATCAGTTCTTTGGCTCTTAGCCCTCTCTGTGGTCCCCTCTCCCATCTGTATGTGATCACTGGAAGAACCATAGGCCCAACTATATTTTTTCCTATATATTTTTTGAGAAGTCAAGTTTAAATGTAGCTAGTTTTCTCACTCTGTCCTCCACTCCACTTGAACTTTCTTTCATATTTCCTGTATCTGAATTGCTCTGTGTTGAATTTCTGGTGGTTTATTGAGACCTATTTTGTATTCAACTGTCTTCTGCTCAGATAGTTTGAACCTTCAGTATAACCCATTCTTTTAGAATTAAATTCAATTGATGAGATGCTTCACTTTGAAAATTCGATTTCTTTTCAAATATGCATGACCTTTTTTGATTTTCTCATTCTTTTAATACCTTTTTACTGAAAAATTTATTTTCTTTAAACATGTTATACCTGTTTATTTAATATAGAATATTAAACCCGTGTACATGTCTTCCACCTCTCCCCCCACAAACCATACGTTCCACTGTTGGTGCGTTTTACCTGATTTTGGTGACTTTGTGCCCTCTGCAATCCGGGGAGGTCATGGATGGTGGTTTTGTCTTTTTTGTTTCGGTGTGGCAGGACCACCAGGGCGGGTGTGTGTTTTCCTCAACCATGTGCCTGGGAGTGGAAGCTATGAGTGCAGAGCTAGCACCCGCGGCCCCTTGAGACCTGGCCTCCCCTTCTCGGGGCAGCTCCTGCCGCATCCACGGTCCCCATTGGGAGGCAGTGTTTCCTTTGCTCACCCGCTCCCTCTGCCGGGAGGCGGCGTTTTCACGGGTCTTGATCCCAGCTCCTCTCGCAGGACCATCCCCACGCCTCCCTCAGGACGGAGGTCTCCAGGGTCCAGCGTCATCGAGTCCCACTGAGGCAGTGACAGCACAGCACAGCATGGATTTGGGCCGTGAGGACTCCCTGGGGTATTATGCAAGCTTGACTACACCCCTAACATGCTGTTTTTACATGTAGTTCAGCGTGTTTACCCGTGGGTCACAGGGGGTCTTCCAGGGTGGGAAACCCACCGTGTGCCCAGCTGTGTCGGCTCGGAAGCGCCTCCTGTGTGTTTCAGCCACGTCTCGGCCGCGGCTCTGCCCGCACCTGTGCGCCCTCTGTGTTTAGCAACTCAAGTGCAGGGGCTGTAGCTTTCCCAGCTCTGAGGCTCCTGCGCCGAGTGCAGGAGCCTCTCGGGGGAATGACTTCATACTCTGAGCATCTTCTCATCCATCATGTCCTTGCACTCCCAGCCACCCTACACTCCAGGCAGAGCAGATGCGTTCTCACTTTATCATGTGGATAACCTGAGACTCAGAGATTTTTAAGTGACTTGCTTGTGATCACACAGCTCATAACTGGCTTGCTGACATCTTGAATTTTTTTTCATGAGACCCTGATCGCTGTCTGCATGCTCTGCCTTCATGACGAAGTTCTGTCTGTGTCTGTGCAATGTGGCATATTTATTTTACCACCTGAGATGGGTACACAATAAATTGCAGACATTAGGTTTACAGCCAGAGGGGCTGTTCATTCCTCAGTGCTTTTAGAGCAGAACTGCTACTGCATTTTGCTGCAGAGGGAAAGTTCTTTGAAACTTCCTGGAAAGTTTTTGCAAGCTTTGACTGAGAAATAAAATTTGATGAGTGGTGCAGGGGATTTAAAATAGACCATCATATTCAGTGGCTTCAACCAGAGGATCTGCAATTGCCTCTCCTCATTTCCTCCAGGTCTCTGCTCGGGTTTACTCTTCCCGTCAGACCTTCCCTGATGGTCCATTTAAAACAGCAATCCAACCTCCACCCAGCGGCTCCGCACACTAGTTCCCATGTTTTGTTTTAATCTACATTTCTAACATTGTCTGTATATTTTGTCTGTCTCCCCCACAACAGCAGAGAGGAGAGTTGCAAGCTTCATGTGTGTTTCCAGAGCCAACATCTATGCGTGTGCTGTGCTGAGTCGCTCAGTGGTGTCTGACTCTTTGCGACCCCAAGAACTGTAGCCCACCAGCTCCTCTGCTCATGAAGAGTGCTTAATAAATAATTTAGTAAAAGCATGACAGTGACATGATTTACAAACATGTAAATCTGTTATGTGGACTGAGGCTGGCGCCCGCCTTCTAGATTAGCAAGAGAGAAGTGACTGACGGGAGGACGAGTAGGCTCAGACCAGCCTCTGCCCAGCCTCATGACCGAGATGGCGGCCAAGCTTCACAGCAGCCATTGGCAGGTCCCAGACTTCCCCTGCTCCCCCAGGACAGAAAACCCAGTTAGTCACTGAGTGGCTTTGGGGGGCATTCCAGGCTTTCCTTACCTTAACGTCCTCACCTGCAACCTCGCAGGTGGTTTCCAGGTCAGTGTCATTGTGAGTGGTGTTGGAGGCTTCTAACTGCTGGCACGGTATCAGATCCTGAATGCATTCTTACCCATTGTCTCCGACATTTGCTTGTGGTCTCATTGTTACTCCTCGTCACTTCTGCCCACAATTTATACCCCTCAATATCACACACAGTGTTTATATGAAGCCACCTCTAAGGGCCCTAGACTGTCTACACAACATCATGGGGTTAAAAATAGCAGCATCACGTCTCAGGGTCGGTCACTTGGTGCTGGAAAGACACTGACTATCTAGTTTGAGCTTCATAAGAGCATGAAGAGTTCCATCCAAAGGGTGAAAAACCTGTGTGTTAAGTCGCTTCAGTGGTGTCCGACTATTTGTGATCCCGTGGACTGTAGCCCGCCAGACTCCTCTGCCCAAGGGATTTTCCAGGCAAGAAGACTGGAGTGGATCACCATTTCCTTCTCCAGGGGAACTTTTTGACCCAGAAATCTAACTCACATCTCCTGCTTTGACAGCAGGTTTTTTTGTTGCTGTTTATTTTATTTTATTTTATTTTATTTAACCACTGGCACCAGCTGGGAAGCCTCTAGATGCTGGAGGAGAACCTTTTGCCTGTTAGGACCCTCTCTGATATCAGAGTTTTAGCCCAGTGTTCTCCAAATCAAGACTGGTTACTAATGCTAGACAGGTGTTGATGCCCCATGGATGCGGACAGGTTTTCATAGCCCAAGGGCCCAGACTAAATAGCACACAATACATAACACGAAGACAGTTCTCAAGTTTGTTTTTTGTTCTGGCCAACTGAACAGAATAAAAACTTTCACAAGATTTGCTTTTAAAAGTACTATAGGGATTCAAAACTGTCAAAATAATCAACCAGAATGTATCAGTATTCCTTATTTGTTCTCACCCTCCAAAATCCACATGTTCATCCTTATAGGTTTTCTCAAAACACAAGGCATTTAAAATTCCCAGCTGGAGAAGGAGCCAAGAAGTGACACGTCTAAAAATGAGCTGCTCCATAAGAAAGGAGAAAACAATGCCATTTGCAGTGACATGCACGGACCTAGAGCTTATCTTACCGAGTGAAGTAAGTCAGAGAGAGAAGGACAAATGCCGTATGATGTTGCCTATGTATGGGATCTAAAACACGGCACAAACGGACTCTGTTTATGAAACAGAAACAGACTCGTGGACTAGAGAATAGACTGGTGGTCGCCAAGTGGGAAGGGGGCAGGGGAGGGATGGAGCAGGCGCTTGGGGTTGGCAGATGCAAACCATCATATATAGAAACGATAAACAACGAGGTCCAACTGAACAGCACAGGGAACTGTATTCAATATCCTGTGATAAACCATAATAGGAAAGAATATGGAAAAGAATGTATATACATGTATAACTGAACCAACTGAATCAACATTGGAAATCAACATACTTCAGTAACAAATAAAAATAAAAGTAAATATCATAAAAATGAAAGAGCTGCAAAGATGTCTGCACACCCATACATACATTCTTACAAATACACGTACCCACCTGCACACACTCCACTGGGTTTGGGTTTGGAGCGTGCAGGTAAGGACAGCAGGTCCATTAATCCAGATTAATGGATTGTGATCCAGGAAGGAGGCCATTGTTTTATGAATTTCAGCATTTATGACAAGGCTGTCATGATGGAGGAGTTCACAGCATGCCCAGCTGGGCTCGCATTCTCAATATTTAAATATCATTCACAAGTTTATGAAACTGTCTGAAAATGTTCATCTCCCTGTTGCCTCTAAAGATTTATTCTTCCTGGAACTTTTATTTATGTAGCTGAGTCCTGGAATGGAGACTCAGAGCAGGATTGTATCATATTTTGGGGGGGATCTGTGAAGCAAGTAGGTGGTTTCCGCGGCTCTCGGCGCCGTGCTAAAGCATCTGGCAAGGCTGGGAACACTCCAACCAGTGGTTTTCAACAATTTCACATCGAGGATGGTGTTCATCTCTTCCTTCCTGGTAACTCAGGCTTTCAAATAAAATGGGTCCTGACAGCAGCTGACTACTGGGTGCTGTTTTATAAGTTGCTGTGTTTTCCTGGTTGGGGCCGCAAACCTCCAGGCTGGGCCCCTGCCTCCAGCCTTCTGCACGCTCCTCTCCCCTGTGTTTAGACTTTTGGTGAAATCTGACCCACAAACACTCCACGAGCTTGGTTTCATCCTGGCATTCCCGACACTTTCTAGTGCCTGGCTGCTCATGTGCTCAGACATAGCTACGAAACGGATGCAGGAAGAAGTGGTGTGTGTATATATAAAAAAATATTACTCAGGCATAAAAATGAATGAAATATTGTCACCGGTAGCAATCTGGATGGACTTAGATATGATCATACTATGTGAACTAAGCCAGACAAAGACAAATGTCATATGTTATCACTTGTAGGTGGAATCTAAGAAAACAGTGCAAATGAACTTACTTACAAAATAGAAACAGACTTGCAGACGTAGAAAACAGACTTGTGGTTGTGAAAGGAATGGTAGTAGGGAAGGATGAATTAGTTTGGAATTAAAAGCCATATAGTACTATACTTAAAATAAACAAGGAAGACCTACTGCACAGCGCAGGGAACTCTACTCAATAGCCTATATGAACAGCCTATAGTGGAAAAAATATGAAAAAATGCAAAAGAATATGTATATATGTATATATATTTGAATCACTTTGGTGTACAGCAGAAATTAACACAACATTGTAGATGAATTATACTTCAATTTAAAAAGAGAGAAATAACTATCGAGCTGAAATCCAGCACATATTAGAACTTCACAAGCCTGGAAAATAACCAGGGTGTCCGTCTTGAGTCTCAGCCTTCAGCTGCAGTAAACGCCATCAACGGCATGGTTCCAAGACACCACTGTTTCTTGAGGACAAAGGTGGTTGTTGTTCCACGCCCTACAGTCCCCGAGATCCTTACTGCTTCTGCTCCTCGACATGCTGGGAAAAACCCAGTTTGGGAAACATACTTTGGGGGTCGAGGCCTTTGGAGGAAGCACTGCCTCTGTAGTCTCTTCCATCAGGTCTCCCTGTCCTCTCAGCCCTAGGGCTTAGGACACAATGACCAGACTTCAAGTGTCCAGACAGGGAGCCTCGCTCTCCAGGTTTCGTGTGTGAGGAAGAAGGCACGCAAGAAAAGGTGAGGAGGTGAGGCCAGGGAGGTGTTTTCTAGCTGAGCCAGGGGTATTCAGGGAAGGTGTCCAGCCCAGGAGAGGTCACCCCAAGCCAGGCGGGGTGGGTGAGGAAGCCTAGAATGTCATCCATAAACATCACTGGAAAAAGTGGACGGATTCAGCCATCCTTTGGTTGAACAGATGGAATTGTCTAAATGCAGCCAGGAAGACTGTTCTGTATTGTTTTCTACCTTACCCTAAACACGCCGTCTCTTATTTCTTGTCTTACCTCAAGTATTACGCTGTGATGCTTTACTCATCGAAAGAACATTGCGAAACCATTAGAGAACAAATCCCAGGCAGTATGCACCGGGGCTGCAGAAGGTGC